TGTGTGTGTGTGTGTGTGTGTGTGTGTGTGTGTGTGTGTTAACAGGTTGGAGAAGCTGTTGAACTGTAAAAATAGCAGATAATGTAGGGATGAATTAATTGTTTTACTCACAGAAGAAGTGAAAAATTCCATTTCTCCGACTCTTTAAGAATTTCCAAGAAAACCTGTTTGGACCCAGAAGAACAGTCATTGTATCCAGACTGAACCAGAATAACACAACCTGTAGTTTACACAGCTGGAGTGACTGAACACAACATCATGTACTGACAGTGTGACAGGACTGCTCCTGAGTTTCATCAACAAGAAAAAGTTGGTTTTTCTTACCTGGAACAGGAAGGATTGAGTTCTAAAAGCTGCTTGAATGTCCTGGATTACAGTGTAACTACACACAGACACACCTGCCTCAGGTACGCCCACTTGTTATCAGTTTGAGTCCTGACCAATCACTGCTCAGACTTGAACAACCTGCCTGGAGGACTCAGGATTCCTGGTATGTGGAATCCTGACAGGTGTGTGTGTTTCCAGGTGTGAAGCTGGACTCGCAGCGTTGATTGGAGCTGAAATCCTCAGACAGGAAGTGATGTCATACAGAACAAACAGGGTGTGGCAGTGTTGAGATAAAGTGATTATCTGACTGAAACAACACACTGTTTGTGACTGAGCTGGTGAAGGGAACTGGATCTCTGCATGTTTTCAGGTGTTCTGCAGGGAAACAGATGTGTGTACAGATGTGTGTACAGATGTGTGTACAGATGTGTGAACAGATGTGTGAACAGATGTGTGTACAGATGTGTGTACAGATGTGTGTACAGATGTGTGAACAGATGTGTGAACAGATGTGTGTACAGACGTGTGAACAGATGTGTGTACAGACGTGTGTACAGATGTGTGAACAGATGTGTGAACAGATGTGTGAACAGACGTGTGTACAGATGTGTGTACAGATGTGTGTACAGACGTGTGTACAGATGTGTGTACAGACGTGTGAACAGATGTGTGAACAGATGTGTGTACAGACGTGTGAACAGATGTGTGTACAGATGTGTGTACAGATGTGTGAACAGATGTGTGAACAGATGTGTGTACAGACGTGTGTACAGACGTGTGTACAGACGTGTGTACAGATGTGTGTACAGACGTGTGAACAGACGTGTGTACAGACATGTGTACAGACGTGTGTACAGATGTGTGAACAGATGTGTGTACAGACGTGTGAACAGATGTGTGTACAGACGTGTGTACAGACGTGTGTACAGATGTGTGAACAGACGTGTGAACAGATGTGTGTACAGACGTGTGAACAGATGTGTGTACAGACGTGTGTACAGACGTGTGAACAGATGTGTGTACAGACGTGTGAACAGATGTGTGAACAGATGTGTGTACAGATGTGTGTACAGACGTGTGAACAGATGTGTG